CCTTAGAGCAAACACTAAGAAAATGGCACAAAAATATAGCAAAAAAACAAATCAATAAAAATTAAAGTAGTATACTAGAAAATATCGAATACCAAGAAGATTATAAACAAGGAGAAGAGGAACAAAAATAGAGGAGATATACTGATAACAAATCACAAAATGGAAAATGTAAACTCAAGTATATCAGTAATTACATTAAATGTTGAGTGGTCTAAACACCCCCATTCAAAGGGCAAAGGTTGTCTTCATGAAACAGCAAGATCCAATTAAAAGTTCTCTATAAGATATACACTGTAGATTCAGTGATATAAACTGGTTGAAAGGAAAAGGATGGAAAAAGATATGCTATGCAACAGGAACCATGAGACAGCTGGAGCCAGTAATATTAATATAAGATAAAATAGACTTTAAGAAATGAAATATTACAACAAAGAGGAGCATTTTATAATGATAAGTGTTGAATACATCAGGAAGCCATAACAATTAATAACATACACAGACTTAACAAAACAGCCTCAAACTATAAGAAGCAAAAAAATGACAGCAGACAATCGAATAATAAGAGTTGGAGAATTCCCTATACCAATAGGGAATGTCATAATGTCAATAATGTCATTTATTGTCATCTCAGTAAATGACAGAACAATTGGACAGAATATCAGCAATGATATAGAAGGCTTGGACAACACTATTAACCAAATTGACTGAATTGATATATATAGGATACTCCTCACAATGACAGTGGAATATACATTATTTTCATATACATTTGGAACATCCTTCAGGATATGCCCTAAAATAATTAATCAACTGGTGAACAGATAAAAAAATGCACATCCATACAATGAAGTATTTTCAGCTAAAAAGGAACAACTACTGATACATACAAGAACGTGAATGGACCTCAGAACCCTGATGCTAAACGAAAGAAGCCTAATGCAAAAGACCACAAAGTATTCCATTTTCATAAAATGTACAGAAAAGGCAAGTTTATAGAGACATAAAGAAGATCAATGGTTTCCCAGGCTTGGGGGGGCGGGAGTGGGATTAACTGCAAATAGTCAGGAGGGAATTTTTCTGTGCCATAGCAATGTCTAAAAACTGGATTATGGTGACAGTCGTATAGCTCTATAAATTTACCAAAAACTATTTAATTGTACACTTAGAATGAATGAATTCTATGCTATGTAATCTACATGTCCACAAACTGTTAAAACACAGAAATATGTGAGATAATAACAGATGCTATGAAGAGGAGTAAAGTAGGATAGGAACGTCAGGGCAGGATTCAATTTGTGTAGCCATTGGTGTGTGGTTTGCCAAATACTTCCAGTCCTCCCTTCCACATATGCAGCTGGACTGTGCTTCCTGGATCCCTTGTGGTTAGCCAGAGCAAGGAGTTGTGGGTGGAGGGAGCCATGTGTGACTCCCAGACTGAGGATTTCATTGCTGACATAAGACCCTTCTAGACCTCCGTGTCTCCCTCTGCCATCTGGTCTGTCTACCGGCACCACTTGAGATAAAGGCTGTTCCATTAGCCTGGGCCTTTGAATTACTGTGATGGGAAGAGGACATGTGACCCAGTTACGGGTAGCCTATCCCACTGTGATACAGGCATGCAGTCAGTGAAAGCCTCAAGAGAAGGTGACATTTGGGTAAAAATCTGAGAAGTGAGCTTGTGAGTCATGCGGATATCTGAGGGGGAAGGGTGCTCCAGAGAGACGCGAGGGCACCGCAAAGAGCTGGTATGTCCGAGGAATCGCAAGGAGGCTGGTGTTGCTGGTGCCAGGCAAATGGGCTATGTAGGAGAGGAGGTGATGAGTAACGCTGGGCCAGGTGGAAGCGTGACATGGAAATTCACTGGGGTGTGTTGAGTGAATGACAGATCTAATCTGATTTGGTTTAAATGCCTTATTCCATTTGTAATATTGAGAAGAGATGGACAGGCCATGGGTAGAATCAGGAAGACCAGTGAGGGGACCTTTATAAGAACCCAAGTGAGAGCTGAATTTATGCCCAGCTGCCATGTCATTCTTCCTGTAAACAATTTTGATCAGTCCTACCTTTACAACTTTCAACAGCTCCCCACCTCCCATGAGAAAGAGCCCAAGTTTCTCAAACTGACATCCACCTACCTTTCCCCTTGCATCACCCACCACTCCCCTTCCTACCACTTCAGCTCCCCTCTCTCTGAGTGTCCCATCCTCCCAGGACATAGTCTTGCCTTCCCACCTGGGTTCTCGTGGTCTCCTCCAAACCCTGTATCACTGCAGGGCGGGGTAACGGTATGCTCCAGAGGAAGGATGAGTCAGCAAAGCCACAGAGTTGGAAAGGCCTGGGAAAGGGGTGTGACAGACGATGCCCATTCCAAGCTGCCCCCTGGCCTTGGTCCTGAAGGTCAGATTGTGGGCAGGGGAAATGGGGACCTGTAGGAATGGCTAGATTCAGGCCTGCTTTCTCCTTTTCTGTGGACTCTCTGGCCTGGTATGAGCAGAGGCCATCATCTTGCTTCCCACTATGATTCAGATGCCCATTGGCTATTCATGGAGGGTCAGCTAAAAGAAGTCACCAGTCCTGGAGAGAGAACCAGGCAGCTCAGTGAGCAGGTATTTGGGAAGTTGGAAGCAAAGAGACTGTAGCTGGTCTGACCAAGCGAGACCGCGGCACGGGGAAAGGTCACAAGAGGTAGATTTAAGTGTGGTGCCCATGCCTGGGTGAGAGTTTTAGCACAGGGCCCCCAAGTGAAAGGCCAAGACTTGTGTAGAAGCTGGCCTCTGGCTTCCTGCTACATGGCAGGTCCACAACTTGGTAAAATTATGGGCAAAACAATTAAGTGAAGTATAGCAGCTCAATTTAACCCTGAAGAATCTTCTGCTTGCCCCACTTATCTGAAAATTTCAGTTAAAAGCAAGCTCAAGTTCCCCATCAATTTCCTCTAGAAAGTATCCAGGTGAGAGAGAGGAAAAGGAGGGTCAGAGTAAGACAGGCAGACAGACAGAGGGAAACAGGGAGAGGAAGAAGAGACAGGCTGACAGAAAGAGCAGAGGTGGGGAGGAGAACACGTCCCCTGTGTTGGATGACTCTTCTGTCCTTTCCAAAGCCTTCCCAAGAATAGCATTGCTGCTCCTTTTATACGAAGCTGCCAAGCTGTGGTCGGATAATACTTTAAAAATTAATTAAATCTAAAGGAATAAAGTTCTGATGCATGCTATAATGTGGATAAACCTCAAAAGCATTACACCAAGTCAAAGCAGCCAGACATGAAAGAACACACACACTGTATGATTCCGTTTATAAGAAGTATCCAGAATAGGTAATCCCACAAAGAAAGAAAGCAGACTAGTGGTTGGCAGGGCTGGGGAAGGTGGGGAGCAGCTGTTTCATGCAGATGGGTTTTTGGGGGAGTGATGAAAATGTTTTGGAGTTAGAGAGAGGTGATAGTTGTGGGACATCTTGAGATTGCCACTGAATTATTCACTTTAAAATGGTTAATTTTATATGAAGTTCATCACAAGAAAAAGTTAAATCAAATTCTTTAAATTTAGGTATCTTGGGCAAGAGCTTATTTGCTGTTTTCTCAAAGAATGAGCATCCTCTGAAGGCAGGGGACATCTGCCACACCATGGAAATCTGATAACTGCAACCTTTCAAAAAAGTAAGTTTATGGTAAGTTTCTGTTTGCCTCAGTCTTCAAAAATTTCAGTTAAAAGCAAGCTCAAGTCCCCCAGTAATCTCCTCTAGAATGTACCAGGGTGAGAGAGATGATCCCATAAATCCATTTGAGAGAAAAATATCTGGAGATTTTACAGCATCCCCTACTCCCCCAACCCAATGCATTAGGCCTGAACAGAGGTCAAGGTTAATCTCAGCTGCTCCCCCACCCCTTACTGTAAAAAGGAAGCTCCGGAGGAGTTAAACATGTGACAAGGACCGCAGCATGTGTCCAGCCCAGGGTGGGATCCCCGGGACCTGGCTTTGTGAACACAGGACTTGATTCCGCATCCTTGTGGACCCCTGTGCAGACCGTAGCAAAGGCTGCCTGCCCTGTGTTCTGGGGCCTCTCTGGGCTCTGTCTGGTGGCCTGGCTACACACAGTTCATTTGGCAACTGCTGATGCCCACAACCCACCGCACACCAATGAAGCCTGATCTCCAGTATTCAAAAATGCCCGGGGAGGGACCTCCCTCGTGGGCCAGTGGTCAAGGTTCTGCACTTCCACTGCACGGGACATGAGTTCAATCCCTGGTTGGGGAACTCAGATTTCCCATGTTGCAGAGTGCAAACAACCCCAACCCCCACTCCGCCACCCACCTCAAAAATGCCTGGGGATTTTTAAAAACTCCGGCGTGATTCTAACATACAGCCAGGTTGAGTACCACTGACTGTGTTTCTCTGACTAATATCTGGGACTTCGATCATCACCTAAAGGCGGTGAGGTCCAGAGAACAAGAGATGTCACTGCACAGCCACTCAGCCAGCCAGGTACGACTCTCCCCCACAGTCAGCGCGTGTATGACCACCCAGCGGTTGTCCCACTTTGTCTGCGTTATCTCCTGGGCAGCCTCTTGAAGACTACTGAACTGTCCTTCCATTTCTGAATTAACAGCTGGGCTTGACTGTTTCCAAGCAAGATACAGGGCAGCCTCAGGATGCACAGCCTTCCCTGTGATGACTTTTTGCACCTGCGGTCTGTGGGCACAGAGATTTTTACAGAATCTGACTGTCATCAGAGCTCTGAGCCACTGGAGCCAGGGCCTCTGACAGTCATGGTCATATTGAAGGCTCTATTTTTCAGGCAGACATGAACCAGCTCCTGAGTTCAGGGGTCAGGGCTAGGCCATCAGTCAGTGCACAAGCCCTGACCACAGACACCCCTACATGCTGTCAGCTTATAAGACGAAGACAGCTCCTCTGGGTGGCATCAAGTGACCCCATCCCCCAAGCAAGAAGCTAAGAACAAAGGTAATCATACTCTACATAGAATAAAATCAACTTCTTACCGAAATATCTGGCTGCAAATGTTCTTCTTTTGCTGGAAGCTGTCGGCAGCATAACGAAGCTGGCAGTCTATGTGCAAGTTTTCTTGTATATCCTTTTTATAAAGAACCAACCACATCCTCAAGCAGACAGGCTAATTCCTGTTTTCCAGTAATAGGAGATCAGCATCTATAGAAAAGAAATATATTTAGAATGCCCTTTATCTGGTGCTTTCTTGGATTTCAAACAAGAAGCTTCTCTATGAGGAATTAGTCCTTTAAATGCAAGTGTACTAGGGATTGTGGAATGGCCTTGGGCAAGTCACAGACCACTGGGTATCAGTTCCCCAAATCTGCAAAATGGGAACAATGATGAACCACACCTCATAGTGAACAGAGGGTCAATAAGATGGTGGGTGTAAAATGGCAAAGCCCTTCACACGTGTCAGATACTATGTCTGATCTTTTCAATCAGCTGGCCTCGATTTAAAAGGAGATGTGTTTTCCAGAGAGCCTCAAAAACAGCTACAACAGTAACCTGCAAATGTGAAATGTGATTTCCAAAACCCTCACCTGGTATGCACAGCAATCCTGTTAGTGGGGAGATGAAGGACACGGACCCCACACCCCGATGGGGAAACAGAGCCCCAGCAGCACCCACGGCAGACCCTTACCCTGGTACACTGCTGCTAACAGCATGGCATCTCATTCTATTTCTGGAAATTTAGCATCATTATCGCATATTTTATAGCTGTGGAAAATGAAAAAGAAAAATCCTGATTAGAAAACAGCCAAGTGACGTTTATGTAGCCCTCAACATCACTGACATTGTGGTCTTGGCAACCGACGGAAAGGCATCTCCAGGGCAGGGGGCATGTCATCCTATTTAAAAATGTAGGAAGTTTATGCAGACTGAGAACATCTCAGGGCGGGAGGGACAGCCAACAGGACATTCTCTCAACCGCCTTTCTTGTCTCCTTTGCTTCCCTGCCTCGGCTGTGTTGAATCTGCTTCATGTTTGTGATTATAGAGCCAATCACTGTTTCTTTTTAAAGATTTTTAAAATATGAGCCATTTAAAAATTTATTTTATTGAACTTGTTACAATATTGGTTTTGTGTTTTGGCCTTGAGGCATGTAGGATCTTAGCTCCCTGTTCAGGGATTGGACCCACAACCCCTGCATTGGAAGGCAAAGTCTTACCCACTGGACTTCTAGGGAAGTCCCCCAGTCACTGCTACAGATAGAACAACACAGCCAGCACTCATTGTGGGTATATCCCTTCCACTCCGGGGCTGCGGGCTGCACTGGGGCCAGGTCACCTTGCTCCATGCCTTGGTGACCAGGCACAGCTCCTGCTTCTGGTGCCCTCAGGGGAACATGGGGATAGTTCCGTAGAGGGGGACTGACCTGGGGAAGCTGGGCACAGAAGCTGGTGGGTGAGAGTGAAACTGCTTGAAGAGAACAACAAAGCCCCAACCAGAGATGGCAGCATGTCCTTGGGACTAAGTGAACAGTGGCTTGGCTTGCAAAGGGAAGTCAGGGTAAAGAGCAGAGTGAGAAAAGAGATGGAGCCCAAAGCAGAGAGGCAGTGACAGAGCAACGCCAAGGAGCTAGAGGCGCGTCAAGCCTGAGGACCTTGGAACTGGGACAGACCTCAGAGAACCTTGGGGACACAGTGACATCTCTTCACACCCTCTAAGCACACAAGGCTGGTAAGGTGATGGAGGGCGTGGGGAGTGAGAGGAAGACGCCCATTGCAGGACCTGGTGTAGCAGTGGCTTTAGAATTAAAAACTCTGGGTTTGTGTCCAGGCCCAGTTTTGTTTTTGTTTTTTTTTTAAGTAGTGTAAATGTGGATGTGTGGCTGAAACAGGGCTACCAGACTTAGCAGGTAAAAATATGGAATGCCCTGTTATATATTATAAATGTGCTACAAATATTCCAAGGGACATAACATCTACTATAAAGGTACTGTTGCTATTCATTGTTAGTAACTGATCTAAATTCTGATTTAACTCTGTGACCTATATTTTATCTGGCAACCATATGCCTTCTGAGTATCCATTTTTAGCTTTGGTCAAAAGAGGATGATTAGGTAAGATTCTTTCAGTTGCTGGAAACAAAAAAGACAGTTAAAATTGGCTTAGAAGATAAGAGGAATATTTTGGCTTCTTTAATGAGAAAGTTCTCGTGATATGGATTTCAGGTATGGCTAGATCCAGCAGTTTGACAATGTCAACCAAGTCAGACTCTCCCTCTGACCCCGTTCTCTTGTTTGCTTCCTGAGGTGTCTGCTTCATCATAATCAAGGCTGCCTTAATAAAAAATGCTAGAGTGGAGATCAAAGTGGTGGAATAGAAGGACCTGAAGCATGCCTCCTCCCACAAAAACATCAAAAATACATCTACATGTAGAACAGTTTTCACAGGATACTCACTGGACACTGGCAGAAGACCTCATAAAACCAAAGCAGCAAAAAGATTACCATATAACTAGGTAGAACAGAAGGAAAAAAAGGAATTGGTATGGGACCTGTGTACCTAGAAGGGAGCTGTGGAAGAGGAAAGCTTCCCTCATCCTGGGAATGCCCTTCACCGGCTGGGAGATCAGACAGGATAGACAGGGGACTTGAGAGGCTCAGAGGTGAGTGCAGCAGCCAGCCTGTGGCGGGTAGGGCAGAGAGAGACCAGCACAATGGTCCCAGCCAACTCACTGCACTCCCCAGCCCGAGATGCATGCCTGCCAGTGTGTGCAGTGGCTGGATACAGAAACTCAGGCATCAGCGACAGACCAGGGGAGAGGACCTGATTTGGCTGCACAGACAGCGGGAAGGGCCTGGAGTGTGGTGCAGAGGTGTATGCTGCACAGATCCTGGGTCCACCACAGGAGCCCCACTGTCAGCACATGTGAACGGAGGGGGCACTTGGCCCTGCCATACCAGCCTTGTTCTTGGCATACTCAGGGCGGGCACAGCTCTACCACCAGAGGATCTGAGAGCACATAAGTGCAGGGAGATTGCCCACATATGGAGGCAGGGCTGAAATCTGAGCCAGTTCCCCATGGGTGCACAACTTGGAAAGTGGGGATGAAGTCTGAGTTGATTTCTTGTGGCTGCCTGCGAGATTTAGGCGGAAATATGTGAGTGCAGCACCTGCGGGACATCCAAGCAGATTACTGGCACACCTCTGGCTGGGGCGGATCTCCTATCAGCAGTGGTGGGGTTTCAAGGGTACACTTCCTCAGAGAAGGGGCCGAGGACTGGGCCGATTCCCAGCATTACCATGGAGGGTCTGGGTGCACGACTGTGGTGGGTGCTGGTGGGTCTGCACCAGTGGCTTTCTCAGCACAGCGTCTGAGGGCCATCTGGGCTGATGGTCTGTATTCTCAAGGCTGAAGTGGGGCAGCACCAACAACAGTGAGCTCTGTAAGCACGCACGAGCGACGGGTGACATCACAGAGCATGTGTCCCAGTGGACAGTTCCTGTGGAGCAATACTCAGTGGCTCCACCCCCAGCGGGACTCCAGTCCCAGTTATCTCACACTGCAGCTTAGAACTGGATCTGGGGGCTTCTAGTTCAACTGGGGAGCAGACTCTGCCCTACGCTCCCTGCAAACTCTGTTCACCAAAACACCAATCATATCCCCTATCAAGGGGTCAATGACCAGCACACCCTAAGGAAAAGACATGGCAAGCATCCATACCAAAAACAGCCCTTGAACCAAAAATATTAGACTCATGCAGGCAAATATTAAGATATTAATATTTACTAATATTAAAATATTTAAAATATTAGACTCCCATATAAAAACAGCCCTTCAAGACCACAGTAGATAACTATTTTTCCTAAGTTTAGAGTCAGAGAAATATAAGAAAAATAAAGAAGGGGAGGAAGTACCTCAATAAAAGAACAAGAAAATCCCCTGAAAGAAACAATGAAATAGACCTTTCCAGTCTACCAGACCCTGAGTTCAAAAGAGAGTAATAAAAATACTGGAAGGATTAAGAAAAGCTATTGATGGAAATGTTGATCACTGTAACAAGAAACAAGGAACTATAAAGAGGAGTCAATCAGAATTAAAAAACACAACTGCTAAAATGAAAACCAAGCTAAAGACAACAATTAGAAAACTAAATAACACAGAAGAATGAATAAGTGATCTGGAAGACAGAAGAATGGAAATCACCCATTCAGAATAGCAGATAGAAAGACAAATTTAAAAAAACAACACAATATATGAAACTTATGGGATAATATAAAGTGTGCCAATCTATGCATAATAAGGGGTTTCAGAAGGAGAAAAAAGAGAAAGGGGACTGAAAACAGCAAAAGTTAAGACAAAGGGAGGATTCTAAAGGCAGCAAAAGAAAAACAGAGTAACAAGGAAGTTATCAGCTGATTTCTCTACTGCAGGACAGAGGGGTGTGGCAAGATGTATTCAAAGTCTTGAAAGCGAAAAACCTGCAACCTATATTGTCAGGATACTCTAACCAGCACGATCATCATTTAGAACAGAAGAAGAAATAAAGAATTTCTACAGTAAGTAAAAACTAAAAGAATACAGCAATACTAAACCCATTGTATTAATAAAAGAAATATTGAAAGTTTTTCTTTTCTTTTTTTTTTTTTGGATTTTTATTTTTATTTATTTATTTATTTTTTTCATTTATTTTTATTAGTTGGAGGCTAATTACTTTACATCATTGCAGTGGTTTTTGTCATACAGTGAAATGAATTAGCCATGGATTTACATGTATTCCCCATCCCGGTCTCCCCTCCCACCTCCCTCTCCACCCGATCCCTCTGGGTCTTCCCAGTGCACCAGGCCTGAGCACTTGTCTCATGCACCCAACCTGGGCTGGTGATCTGTTTCACCCTAGATAATATACGTGTTTCGATGCTGTTCTCTTGAAACATCCCACCCTCGCCTTCTCCCAGAGTCCACAAGTCTGTTCTATACATCGGAGTCTCTTTTTCTGTTTTGCATATAGGGTTATCGTTACCATCTTTCTAAATTCCATATATTTTATGATTTTAATGTCCTATTTTACATCTTCATGTTATCCTTTTGCTGTT